ACCGGTTTTTTGGCATTCACCCCCTTTCTAATTTTAACTCTCCAATTATCGACGAAAATATGATTTGCTTCAAAAAATAATAATCCCCGCTTCAAATTTCTGTTTAATGCAAAGTTGATGTACTTATCGTCGATAGACGGATGGATGATACTCCAGGAGCGAAATTCATTTAAATTATTTTTTCAGTACATATTTGATCCCATGAATCAAAATATCATCAATAGTTATGTTTATATATCAAGGGAGCAAAGGTATCCATTTCCTCCCGCGTCTGAAGTTTGATGCCGACGCGTAGCGGAGGGCATATTAAACACACATATTGGAGGAAATTAACCTGTTTAAAAGCGTGCTGCAAGCGGTCCATCTCTCGAGTCTCGATCCAAATTTATGTGTTACATGATCTGGGGTTACAAAAGTGTAGTATGCGCCCACAGAGTATGCCATGGACAATTAAGTATTGACAGTATATTTGAATCTGAACGAAAATCAATTTGACACTTCTGTCATATTGAATTTGTTTATTGTGTTATTGCATTTTATTTAAAGTTTCAACTTGATTGAGTGAGTTTATAAAATGAGGACGTGTATGAGTGTATTGGAGTTCGGAAAGGAAATTGTTATTTGCATTGTCGATCTAAATGGAAACCTAGTTAGGTAGTTAGTAGGCGAGAGCATAATATTGTCTGTTCTTTGAAAAAATAAATGAAGGCGTTCAGTAGTACAGAGACATCAATGTGAACCAAGTAAACTAAGTTATTCATATTTTATTCCTAACCCATAACATTTTTCATGGTCCTGTCAAGTTTGTAAATAAAAATCTGTCATGTTGAAACCCGAAGATGAAACATTATCACGAAAGATATTATCAAGTATGAAAACCATCTACCTATACTTGAATGGAAGCAGGGAGATGTTTAGGCAATGCTGTATCAGGTTGACTTATGATGCAACTTGAATTTAAGTTGGAACTGTGGAAACTTCGAAAACTCATCAGTGCTTTTACACTTTTTCGACTTGCAAGCCAAGCAGAAAGGTAGGGGCTGCTTATTTCCTTCTATATTTTTGATAAGTTACTATATAATTCATGGAATTCCGTTATTTGCAGTGAAAACATGTCTTCAGTGATGTAAACTATGTACACATCGGAATCACTATACTTGATAATATCAGAGGTACCTACCTACAGTGAAGATCGAGTATCTACATGAATAGGTTTTCAGTTGAAAAACGAAAAACTATGAGTGATACAAACAAATTGATGTGGAAGAATCACATCAGGAATCATTATGTGAGTTATGTTCAGAAGAAATGTACCAGAAGGATGATGATGTTTGAGAACAGAATGGAAAATTTCCCATCTGAAATGAATATATAGAAGCAATAAGGTTGGACTCAATATGTTTATTTCATCAATGTCTTATGGATATTCTGCTCCAAACACAAAATATCAAGATGCTGGGATATTTAGAATTTTTTTCATTGGAAAATAACTTGTCTTATGTACGAATGACAATACAAATATATTTTTTAATAAATTGAATATAATTATGAAGAATTATTGCAATTTTTATTCTACTAATTTGTTCTCCTCTGATACCCTGTTTATTGTTGTACAGATGTATTGGCAGGTAAGTTTGAAAACACTATATATATTATTGTACCAAAGGTATATAGGTTAAATATATGTTTTGCTGAACAATGATTATTTTTTATAAAATCATCTTATCCACTAACTTCACTAAATATGGGAAGATGTGTCTATAATTGCCACAAATTGAACCATAGGAATATTCAATACCAATATGTATAACTTCTTAATTTATATTGAGTAATCATTTTGAATAAACTTCATTATTATTTATTATCATTCTATAATATCTGTTCAAATGCCCATTTCCTCCTCAGATTCTTCTTAATCTTCAGGTCGTGTTCCTTGAGGAAGGAGTTTCTCTTCAGCATCATATTCCAAACTACATTGATGAGTCTGAAACTATAAAAATATTTGATATCTATTTTGTCCCCAGTTTCAATGATCTGTACCATTCTGAAATGAATTTAATGACAATAATTGACTATGGAACAATTTTTAGAGGTCCCAAAGTCAAGTTCTTGGTAGTTTTTGTACTGAAACTAATAGTTCCAGTCAACTAGAAACTAATAAGCTGATTGCTACAAAGAGTTTGTATAGGTAGGAACTTGTTAAATATAATTTTATTTATATATACCTTCCTTTATCAATCTTGGAACCGAACCCTCCTTCCAAAACCGTTTCCAATTCTTCATTGGCAAGAAACAGTTTCCTTAGAATGTTGGAAACATACAGTATCATGTTCGCTCACTTCAAAAACTCCCATTCCTGAAATATCAATGCATCAAGATTCAAGAAAAAAATTTCACCTTGCAATCCAATGAATATGGCATAAACTCATTGATGCCTCAGGATTTGTGGCTCAAATTCACAAGAGTGAGGATAGGGGAAACCAGGTCTTGATAATTTTACACCTCCACCTCCTGGAGTGCGAAGTTTTCAGATAACATTGCAAAATAACACAGTCGCACTCACAAACCAATCAACAAACTGCAATAGAAAACCAATACTAGAAGAAATAATTAGGAATAATTGTAATTTTCAAGAATACGGATTCAAAGTATAACATATTCACAAAGACGAAGTTATAAGTTAATGACAACTGTCAGAAAATAATTTTTTGATTATGACATCTCAATCTCATGAAAGAATCTTCTTCATCGCCTTTGTATCAAATATCACGTCGATGATGGAATGCACATCTGTGGTTGAGTACATATTGGAAAAAAATAGAAGAAGAGAATATCAACCTAATATGGTCTATTTTGACATGAACAAATGAGCTTTTTCCATTTTCAGGATGCCAGCGCCACTTGACAGGCAGACAGATTTTGATTCAAAGAACAGACAATATTGTACCTCCTCGCGTACTAGGTCGCCTACTAGGTTTTCATTTAGATCGACAATGGTTATTTGTTTTATAGTAGTGAAGGAGACACTGATTAGGTACAGTCGTATTCAATAAAAAAGCGTACAAGCATTAGAGAGGATTTCGGGAGCCTATATAGTTCTAGTTGTGTAAAACTGGCTCAGCCAATGCTTTGTGTTTTCGAGAACCTATGATAACTTAATTACTGTAAACATTTGGAGAACAATCATTCCCGATAGCCCGTTTTAATATAATATACTTGTACGCTCTTTTTCTGAATGCGACTTGGTAGCACAGATTTAATACTTATATCTCTACCAAGGAAGCAAGCTGCAGCCGATTTATTTTACCACCCACGGGAGGTAAAGTCTGTAAAGGTTTGTGTCCTCCACACATGGGAGGAAATGAACGTTTGCTCCCAAGATATATATGATTTTATCCACGAACACATACATTTGAGAGCGTCGTTCTCAAAATTGTGCTCCAAGCGGTCTATCTCTCGAGTCTCGATCCAAATCAATGTGTTACATGATCTAAGGTTACAGAACGAAAATTAATTTGACTGACACTTCTGTCACATTGAATTAGTTCATTGTGATGTGAATATTGCATTTTATCGTGATTTTATCTGAAGTTTCGATTGAGTGTTACTGTTATATGGAGGAAGTGCATTTAAGATCATTGGAAAATGAAATTGGTATTTGTTTTATAGTAGTGATGGACACACTGATTAGGTACTTGGGTAGCACAAATCTTATGTGTATACCTCTACCAAGGAAGCATGCTGAAGCCAATTTATTTTACCATCCACGGGAGGTAATATTTTTTTCCTACCGTGTGGGAGTAAATTGACAGGTTTGTGTCCTCAAATGAGGGAGCCAACGCTAACTTTCTATGCAGTGAGTAGATAAACTACGATTATGTAGAGACGCTTCAACATCTGCAGATGCAACTGATGATTTCTCGTTACAGCTGAATGACATTTCCACATCTATTTATTCTGATTAAAATTCTGAATCTCATCAGGAACAAATCCATTCAGAAGAGATTGGATTATTTTACACGGTGCAGTATCAGTTACATATACAGAGCATCCCAAAATTGCTGGGACACAGAGTTACCACGTGTAATAAAGGTCAAAATAAGTTTACATAAAAAAACAGATTTTTGTACGCTGTGCAGAAATGAGTGAAACAAATTGAATTAAATTTGACAAAAGTGCATTTTAGAGGATTACTCTCCTTTCGGTACTAATAGGAACCCAAAATAAATTGTAGAAGGTTTAAAACCATCCTCACCCACTGATTTTTTTTGCAGAACATTCTTAGGGGTGGTAATACGGTTCTCAATGTTTTACCAAGAAGACAGATCAATTATTTTCATTTTGTAAGTCTTAATGCTATGCAATCACGGTTTGCGCCAAAGTGTAGCTATTTTCATGCTCTCCAAGATCAATGATGCAAAAAATCGAAGAGTCGGTAAACGACGCCCTCTATAAGACGCGGTATGAACTTGTGACCGGAAAGGAAACCAACTGTCAAATGAGTGTAAAATTATTTTTCAAATGAGCCCAAGTTTTGATTGCATTTGGATAAAGGGTATGGAAGATACAGCAATTTGGAAACTATTTAGTTCAAAAGCTTCTCCCACCATTATCATTCAAGATACGAAAAAAAGCCTGGAGACCAACACACAAATAATGAAATGATCTTTCAATTTCCGATATCGAAAAATAACCTTGGACATCTATTTTCTGAGATAATCAGAATGTTTCGTTATATCATAGTTACTGCGTGCCCTACCGATCATTCTAGAAAATTGAAATCATTTTGAATCAATTTCTCATCGTCGATTTAGTACATAATTTTTTTTCCCAAAGCTGTAAGGTTTATAGTTTCCATAATATCGTACTTCACCGACATGTACTCATTTCAAAAACACCTTGCATAAATAAAAAACAAATCGTACTTCACCGACATGTACTCATTTCAAACACACCTTGCATAAATAAAATTAATAAATTAACTAAGTTGTATTGTTGAATTAACTCTTCCCATCATTCTCTTTGGTTAGTTTTTGTTTGTGAACTGTTCTCACATGTTTAGAAACACAGCTCTTCCAAGCACTCTGGAACGAACATGATTTACACTTGTGCACTGTCCCAGCGGTAACCTTCTGATGCTTCTCCATATGCACTTTGAGACGATAAAGATCTAAATTTTCGTAGTCACATTCTGGGCACTTCAACTTCTTCTTAAAGTGTAACCGTCTGTGCTTCTCCAACCCAGACTCACTAGAAAACGAAGCATCGCACACCGCGCAAGTATACATGATGTTCAAATGCGTCTTCTTGTGCTTCTTCAGAAATATTTTACTCTTGGATGTATAATCGCACTCGTCGCATTCTAACAGCGGCATCTCAGACTTGCTCTTATGCGTCAACACATGGTTTCTGATGCTGGCTTTCACTTTGGTTATGAACGAACAATCATGACAGTAATAAGCGTCTGCCCCTTCCTTTCTAGGTTTATGTCTTTTCAGTCCTTTTTCATGAACTACTCTATTGTGCTCCACCATACTTGCTCTGTATTTTGATTTGAAAGTGCATTTGATGCATTCGAGGAAGTCTTCTCTATGGACACGCACATGTCTGAACAGCCCCATTCTACTATCTGAGACATAGTCGCATTTGTTGCACCTCCAGAATTCCCCTTCTTTGTGAGTGCTATTAAAATGTCGACGATATTCGAAATCTCCATAACATTTTAAATCGCATACTGAACACACGATCTCCTTCGAGTGAGCCTTGAAATGTTTCTTAATACTGTGTGGATGTCTTCCTGTCCAAGTGCAATTTTCCCATTCACATTTGTAAATAGGTAGGAGCGACTGGTCCAAGTGTGTGAGCAAATGACTCTTGATACGTTTTTTGACTGCGGTCTCGAATGCGCAGCTGCAGCATTTGAATAATTTTGTATCCTGCGAATATTGACAGCTGTCGAGAAGTGACTGTATTGCAGCAGTCATGTCGCTGTAGTCTATCGGCGATTCTCTGAAAACAAAACACATTTAAATGCCCAAGTATTTTTAAACTATAAGTGAGATCCATATATGGTACAAGAACTGTGCGTACTCCTACCACGAATAGAGGTCTCTGAGGGGAATAGGGGACATGTGCCTATGATGGCCTCCTCTGCCAATGATGGCCCACCATCTGTATATTCAAATATCGCATCATCACACTCAACTCGTGCATCAAGCCTTTTTAGACAGTTGCTACTGATTTTCGAATGCTTTCACTCCATTTTAGTGATTTTACGAAATAAAATCTAAATTGGTGATTGTTGATCTGAGAAAACTGTTCTCATTTTTTGTACTTCACTCTCATAGTGGAATGAATAGGACAGCTTTAGTCGATGTGTAAGGTAGAAATGCACATTGTTGATCTGTTTTCGTCTTCAAATTGATTTTAGTGTAAATAGAACAATTGTTATTTGATTCAAAGTATCAATATGATCATTTGGCTATGATAGATTCATAATAGGCCAGTGGACTAATTTTTTTTATTTCTCAAATAAAATCATCACTCAAATACCTTTCAATTTCATATTTTTTTTAAAATTTTTGGTCGATTTTCAGGTGCTAAAATCATTAATAATGCTACGGTAGTTTTCAAACGGCTAAGTAGGGGCAGACCATTGCACAGTTGCCATGTGTTGAAATACGATTGGAAACTTCAGAAATATTATTTGATAATTCATAAATCCTCAATTGCGTATTGGTAATATTCCTAATCAGCAATAAAATTTGAATTGTCTCGAAATGTTTCCTTATGATTTGTGGCTAATTGCTTAATGAATTAGTGTACATAATAATTATATTAATTTACACTAAAGGATATTTGAATCGGTAAACGTGACAACCACGGCGCACGACTTGTGGGCGTGATCTTGTCAGCTCTCAGCATTCAGCACAATGTTGAAACTAAATCCAAAGCTATATCACACAATGATACGTTTTTATGAAAACCCTCGTGAAAACCACTAATTTTTTAATTGACTCGGCCGTTACTTGATGGAAATCCATAGATTTACGAAAAATCAAGGGTATAAAAACCTAATTGTGGGTCTTTTCCTGAGGTATATATTGGTCAGACATGTCGAACGTTTAATCAGCGCATTCATGAACATAAGATGAATCTTTTGAAAAAGAAAACAAATTCAACAGATACGAACCATATATTAAAAATAAAAAACACAGTTTTGAAGATAATTTCGAAATTCTACAGGTAGAAAATAATAAAGGAATGAAACTCCAATCATTTTGAATCATTAGAAATTAACAAAGCAAAAATTCAGACATTGTACTCAACTATCAACTAGACCTCGATAATTCACCCTAGTTGAATTTGTTTTCTTAGGTAATATAGTATGTATTTGATAACAACCCTTTCAAGTTAATCCCTTACATTGTATTTTAATGTAGATATTGTGCCTATTTTCGGAAAATTAAGGATTATCGAACCTTTCCACAGGTAATTCTAATACGTCAGGTTGGAAAATTAGGATATAAAACTTATAAAAGTTAGGCAAGCCAATGAAAGTTTAGTTTATTGTACTAGTATTTTTTTTACATTTGAAAATCACTAATTGAAAACGGAGCAGCCTCAATTTCTCAAGACCTATTGTAGCAAGTGATAGAAAAAAAAGCTAATTGTAGTTCAAAAAATAAGTGATTAATGTGTTTTTCCGTCGACCTCGTATTAACGACTAAGTTTAATGTATATGAAATGGTTCATTAATGACCCCTATTAATAAACGATTTGTCTATTAATGCACGATTGTTTTATAGGCAACCAAACATACACCGCGTGCATTCATTGTTCATATAACTTACGGAATCTGCATTTAAATCGAAAATATGGATTACATCGAAGATTTTCTGTTAACGGGTTCTCCTTTCCAAGTTTCTGACACGATTTTTTTCCCTGTTTTCTAACACAAGGAATTTATTTTCTATGTTGATCATTTCGACAAATGTCACTAATGTCAGTGACAAGGCTACTGGGTGATTCTTAGCAGTTTCCGGATGAATGATGAATTCGCGAACCAAGTTTTCTTTATTGCAGGAGAAATGAGAAATATAGTCGACGGAAAAATTTTGTAACCAACTTGTATATTAAAAGGCGATTAATGATCTCAAACATTAACGCGCTCGCTTCGCTCGCACGTTAAAATATCTCGATCATTAATCGCCCTCATTAAAACACTAGTTGGTTAAATAACTATTAGGCTCTCACCTCTTTAAATACACTTCTTCTTTGGTTGGTATAGGGAGTATTGAATATAATTCGGATAAATCAACTAGTTGGGCAGGTCCGACCTCTTCTTTAGATATATTTTTGATTCGTTCCTCAGTATTGGTACAAACTGAGACGAACTCATCGAATTCAAGAAGATGTTTCCTACAGTTATTACAGATTAGCGGAGCATTGGTAGCATGTAATGACTGAAAAATAGAAAAAAATATACATTATTATGTAGGTGTCTCCTTATATTTTGACCTTTTCAACTTCTTCAGCTATACAAGGTGGAAAAAAACTTCAAATATGAAAGTTGTAGTTTGTACTATCTTTTGGCACTCCTTAAAAACAAATGTAAATCGCAAAATGAAAAAAAAAGAGTCGGAATTAGTTTTTTTTTAAGGGACGCCCTGTATATTTTCAACGTCTGTGAAAGATCTTTCTCTTCTGTTCACAAATATATATAGTATGCTAAGCTTTCTACCAAAGCTTTTCTACTAAATTCTTGCTGCACTACTGACATTTTTGCAGCATTTTCATGATCTTATCTTACTATCTCGTATTTTTCCTCTTCGGAATGACATATTTTGTTTCCATGGCATTTCTGTTGTGTCCACAGCCATCTAAATGTTATCAGCAACTTCGATCTTATGCTAAAAATGTGAAAAATGGCCTGGGAAAACATTAGCAAACTATATATATATTTGTCAACAGAAGAAAAATATCTTTCATTTGAGTTGAAAATATCGCATTTGTTTGTTTATGGAGTGTCAAAATAAGATAGTACAGATGAAACCCTATAACTTTCAAATTTGAAGTTTTTTTCCATCTTGTATAGTTGAAGCTGTACGAAGGGGTCAAAATATACCCAGTACCTCGAAAAATCAAAACTAGTTCGCACTGGCTCATACTCACAACTTCAGGAAGATGATTTTTGAAAACATCCTCGAATTCATTTTGCAGAACTTCATTTTTCACATTATCTGAATCTTTGATAACTTCCAGACACAGGCGACAAATTTGCACATTTTCTGAATTCAAGTGTTTTGTTTCTGATAATACTGATAACAAGTTCACTTGTTTCACTTGACCGTCCTGTTTGTTGATAAACGGATGCAACACATCTTCTGTGTAGAGGCATAGTGTCTTGAAGTCAAACAGTTTATGAATTCGATTCAAGCAATCCTTACAAATGACCGGATTTTTCGATCTTTCAAAATCCTATAAAAAAATATTTTCATATTTTTGAATAGGTACTATTTCTTATGAAAATATTCGCGATAGAAAATAACACGTCGCCCCACCTGACGGCAGCAACTTGAACACTTCTGAGCGATTTGTTTGGATGATATATACGACCAATGAGCACAAACAAAAAACTAATGTGAACCAATGGAAACAAAGTAAACGTGCCGCCTTGACAGCTTTCAAGAACTCCGATAGGTGGCGTACGTACGCTCATTTTCTATCGCGAGAATGAAATCTGTTAGTAAGTTGAAAAATAGGAACCAATTTAGGTTCTGAAAAAATTGTTAAGTGAATACCTACACCTTTTTTTCTTCATTTTACCACTTGTATGGCGTATCATTATTTTGTTTTTTGCATTCCTTCAAAAGGTACTTTCATTATTTGAAGTTAAAACGGTATTAAATTACATTGTATTCAATATACAGGATGATTTGCGTAAGTCACAAAAATTCTTATAGCTCATTTCATAATTATTATGTATATATTCCCAAATGGATATATAGTACAGGGTTTCTATAAATGATCGTAACATCGTAGTAGCCGTTGAAATATTTTCTCCATTTGCCGCCTTTCATTTATGGAGATTCACACATTCGAATTTAATTTCTGACATCAATCATTATACTGTCATAGCTGATAAACTCACAATTGTCAGTTTTTCATTAAAATTCTGTTTTCTACTGCGTGATTGTCGTATTGAAAAGAGGGATGGCTTATTCCTCGGAGCAGAATACATTTATTGTAATGTCTTTTTGTCGAAATGGCACATTCATCAATGGTGGATGGAGTTACTCGGTAGTAGCCTGTAAGGATGAGTACCTGGCGAAATATCCTAATGTACAGGCTGTCCCATTTTCGATGTCCTTACGGGATATCTCGCTTAATTTTGAAGATAGAGATTTGCGGTTTTCGCGAACGTTGGCTACTTTTTTGTGAAACTCACGAAACCGTGAACAAAATTTCCATAGCCCGCTTCGTTCCTGAGATACAGGGCGAAATTGAAAATATTTCATTTTGGGACCCCCTTGTTTCTCAGCTATCTTTCAAACTAGAGGAAAAGTAAGAACTGTTTCTTTCACAATTTTTCACGTAGAATCCAGTGGCGTAGTCAGATTTTTTGAATGAGCTGTCGATATTTAGATATAACCCAAAGTTATGTTTTTTTAAATAGAACACCCTGTATATTTTTCAATATTTGAAACAAGAAAGCTTTGCGCTTTTCAAAAATATATAACACTTATATAATATTTTGGGTATTAGTCCTGATTTGGCTAATTTTCAGTTTTTTATGGCATGTCAAGACAAATAACTTCTACTTTTAGAATAGATATTCTGGCGCAATAATTAAATACCACTCATTTATATAGGGTAGAACGAGAAGTATTCATTTGAAATGATTATTCAATTAACAAATTGATAAAAACAATTTGATAAAACATAAAACAATTTGATAAAACAATAAATTCAAACACTACTACAAAACAATTCTATAAATTTTTCTCCTGTCGAAAATGTCTTATGAATATTGTTCAAATTGCTGCATTCTGTTGAAGACACAGCCGACATCTTCTGAGGATAGCGTCAATCGACCGGAGTAAAAATATAGGTCTCATACGTACATATTCGAAAGCTTCTCTCGTAGCATTCATCAGTGAATCTCGATCTTCTTGCCGCGTGTGATATATTTTATTTTTTATATAGCCCCATAAGAAGAAATCTAATATCGATAAGTCAGGGGACCTTGGCGGCCAGTGAATGGGACCATTATTACCAATCCACTGATTTTGAAATCTTTCATCAAGATAAACCCTGATGGCACCTGCGTTATGACAAGGTGCGCCATTTTGTTGGAAGAAACTGTGTCTAAATTGAGCCAACGGAATTTCGTCAAGTAGTTCAGAAAGACAATCATCTGAAATTTCCAAATATCTTTGGTGATTCAAGTTCGATAGGCAAGTCTTCCTCCATAAACGAAACAAGATACATGCATTTGTGTTTTTTTTTTCATAGCTATCTACTAATTAGGTCCACAGCTTTCATAGGCAATTATTAGTACTGAATACTGGTAAATGTGGTGAGTGTGTGACGAAACACTGTGTCAGCAATGAGGGAAATATGAAAATTTGTGAAGTGGATAATGTTGCCACATTTTTACAAGGCCTATTGATAAGAAACCTACATAAAAAACTGAAAATTACCCAAATACAGGACTAATACTCAAAATATCATATAAGTGTTATATATTTTTGAAAAGCCCAAAGCTTCCTTGTTTCAAATATTGAAAAACATACAGGGTGTTCTATTTAAAAAAACATAACTTTGGGTTATATCTAAATAACGACAGCTTATTTTGAAAATCTGACTACACCACTGGATTCTACGTGAAAAATTGTGAAAGAAACAGTTCTTACTTTCCCCCTAAGTTGAAAGATAGCTGAGATACAAGGGGGGTCTCAAAATGCAATATTTTCAATTTCGCCCTGTATCTCAGGAACGAAGCGGGCTATGGAAATTTTGTTCACGGTTTCGTGAGTTTCACAAAAAAGTAGCCAACGTTCGCGAAAACCGCAACTCTCTATCTTCAAAATTAAGCGAGATATCCCGTAAGGACATCGAAAATGGGACAGCCTGTACAGATTCAAGAATCTTCTTTGAAAGCCCACATCAGAATAGTAATCAACAGATTCATCCAAACTGGAAACGTTAATGAAAAGAAATCAACAGGAAGGCCCCAAATATCGGAAGAAGTTGTCGAAAATGGCGCGTTTTGAGCAAAATCCCCAAACGTCATTGAAGAGATTATCTTTATAATCTGGTGTGCCACTAAGTACATGCCATAAAGTGCTCAAGAAAAGAGTGCATATGCACCCTTACAAGACCAGTGTACTACAGCAACTTCTGCCAATAGATATCCCACGTCGTCGGGAGTACTGCCGTTACCACCGATACAACAAGGCCTGCATGCTCCGTGGGTGACGTCACTTAGTGAGGCCTAACCAGCGGCTCGAAACGACAAGCGCTTATATCGCTATAAGGCGACCGCGTATTTCGATTTTAGTTTTAGATCATCATTGAGCCGATTTTGCTGTTTTTTGAATGGCTTCCGGTTAAAAAGGATGCCAGTCGTCAACTGAGCCCTTCTTCGCACCCCATTCGATTTTATTATGGAAAAACGAAGTTTCAAAGCAAAAACCAGGATAAAACACAAATATCCACCTACAGCAACCCATTCGAATTAAATATATTGGCAAAAATTGTGGTGAAGGTAAACTTCACATCTACTTATACAGGGCCCGCAGAACATAAACTTATCGTGAGATTGATCGAAAGAAAATTGTGGAAAATGTATTTTATTTTGATTGACATGCCGTTTGTTACAATTACCTACCTATATTTATCTTGGAGAATTCCTATCACCTGAAAAAATAACCAGTGAGTGTTTTCAATTTTCTGTTGTTGGATTTTTCACCCAAGTGGATCGTTACACTTGAAACCGTAATTTTTAAGGGTAAAACTGCATTAATCATGCGATGGTTTTTTTTTGAAAATTTTTTTCGTTACTCACGTATTTTTGTCTGATAAACCGAATTTTATAATGAAAATGTGAACAAACCACTATTTATTGAGATATTTCGAGAAAAAGTTCAAAATTTCGCCTTTTTTCTCCCCTTGTGTTGGGGGCCGGTTGGGGGCATTTGAAGCTACTTGCTCTTATTTTGTCATTGGACACTTTATATACTCATGACGATGTACTTCGATGGCACATTTTTATATAGAAAATTCTACAGGAAATATGATTTTTATGGCGAGTTTTTCATATTTAGTGAACAAGCATTCCAGATGACGACCATTTAATCAATAGTCAATCAAAATACGAGATGTCAAATGTCAATAGATTGCTTTCGAATGACATTACACACGCCATTATTTTGAATGATATTCTTCCTTCTTTTCACTAAATATGGATTAATCTCAAGAAAATCATATTTATAGTTGAATTATATATAAATTGTCCAATATGATGAAAAAAGAAGGTAAATTTGTTCTAAATGCCATCCAGAAGACAGGTGAAAAAGAAGGTGAAATTTGGAACTTTTTAGTCAAATATCTTCATGATAAACATCATGATAAATGCAGTTTTACCTTTTTAAGTAGAGTGTTTGTATTTCATGTTAATATGATAGTTGCAATTTGATCATTGGAATGAATTCTGCATTCATTGCCACGAGGCAAATGACCGTTTTCAGAAAGAAATTTGAGAATGAGAATTAAAAATGCCCGTTTATTATGAACATTCAAGAAAATTTGCTCGAATTCAGAGATGATTTTGTTGACTATAATATACGAATACAAAACTAACTGCACAATCAAAGCTTTTCTATTTTTCCTCTACTGTAGAAGAGAGTAATTGTCTTCTATTATTAATTCATCATTTTAAATTAAGGTCTGTTTACTACTGAACTTAGATGGAGTAAAATCCTCGCGGTGAAATGCATATACCCACATACTCAAACAACTAACATGCTACTAAAAAAGAAAAATCCGTATTTCAATGTTCAAAATTTGCTCCCAAATTTGAATAGTGCATAAAAAATATAATCCAACAGAGTTCTTTTGTTTGTTTTTTCTCACACAGATTTAAGCCAAATTTCGATTTTTTTGCACTTTTCGTGTACAAAAGCTTCAAGTTTTTTGCACTAGTGCGACAAATACTATAGGAATGTACTTAGTACATAAGTGTACCACTAAAAAAGGACGCCGGCTGTATATCGGAAACTGTTTGCTGCACAGATTTCGAAAAAAAATATTTTTGATGAAAGCGGCCAAGAGAAATCTCTGGAAATTGTTTTCAAGTTTCCAGGACGGCCGCTAGAGGGCGTAATTGGATTCGCCAATTTAAAAAATGGGATTTTGTGAGATCTGTCAGAAACCCTTTTTTTTTTCTTCATAATCTGGAGTTGATTTCCAATCATTTGGATGAAAAAAAAATGCACTAGCTTTTCAAATAAATGTAGGAGAGGAGGATGAATAGCACTATGGAAAACTCTTATTACTACAGTTTGGTGTACAGGAACGAACTTGGTCTAGCTATGAAGAGATTTTTCAGTTCCTTCAGATGAATCAGGAATATAGTCGGTTTAAATCCCGTGGTGGCCGCTAGATGGCACTTTTTGAAAAATCAGACTGAAATCAGACAATTTTCAATTTTTTCTGGAGAATTTCCTCGAGAATTTCAAATGGAATCATATATTTTTCTCACTCTAATATGAAAGAAGAGCAAACGAGAAGAAAAATTGTGAAAACCACCAGTTGATGCATCTTAAGGAACGGCAGCTATAATGGAAATAATATTAGAAAATATAGATTAAATGAATTCAGAAATAATTAGTAGGTAGCACTATGGTCTTCCTAGATGCACCAATTATCTTCCATCATTTTCCATACATAGATTGAGTGTCTGTCAAGTGGATTGAACTGCAGCTTCCATTTTGGCCATTGGTAAGCTCTTGATGGCTCTGATCCAATTGATCATAGCATAGTTGGTGGTGTTTCAAAAATCATATTTTTCAATCTTCTTCATTAATTAAAATTTTCACAAGTCAGATCTGGAGACCTAGCTGGCCACCCAAACATGCTACCCCTTTCTCCTCCCTAGGGAGGCATGATGTCCTTGGAACATAATAGGAATTTCCTTCCATGCTCTCCAAGAGATAATCCATTCAAAAACATCACTCAAATTACCTAGCTATCAAGTTACTCATCATTAAGATGGCTACCTCATCATATAATCTGTTTAATTATGTCATTGATACTTTCAAATGACTGAAGGCACCAGTTTTTAAATTTCAGGAAATTCTGAAATTTGGTTCATTATTGATGTATAATTTATGTTTAGATACCTAATATTATGCTGCATGGCATTTTGAGTACATATACTGATCTCATTTGTTATGTGTGCCATTGATACCAACAGGAAACATTGTGAAATCATTTTTGGAAGAAATTCAGGGGGAGGCAATTGCCTCCCTAAATAATAGTCTTTATTTTCTTACAAAATATGCAAAAGTCTTTCCTAGGGCTACTCTTACTCAACCCATGCACAGCTTGCATGCCACCAGTGTCTGTTGCACCTTTCCTATTACAATATTCTGGAAGTTTATGTTCTCTTCTTAGTCTTCTTACCAGTTTGAGCAATAGGGCATCCAACAAATCTCTCAATAAGTTTTCAATATTCTCACATTTGTCCCCTGATCTCAAACATAGTCTACAGATGTTTGTCATTCCTGAATCCAGTATTTGAACTGTTGGATAGGACTTTGTTCTTCAAATCATATTGATTGAGTTGTATTTATAATTTATTCATATCTCTCAACAGTCTCAACGCAGTGTGCTTTCTGTGTGAAATCAAAATTAAATAGAAAAACTCAAATTCAATATGACCAAATTATTTCCAACCCCAACAACAAACAACAACAAACATTATTTATCTAGCACCAGATGAGCACCAGTCACGTCACCACCTAAGGCCTGTTCGTTTGTGTTTGCTGATGCTCTAATGCTCCACCTGCTAAACTTGATTTTTTTCTATTGCTTTCTCTGTTTACATCATGCCATAAAACGAGACAACTATGGGAACAAAATCAACTTTGGCAAGTTCAGTAACACCGACGAATAGACATTGTCAAGTCTCAAGTCATTCGTTCGACCACAGTGGTGATACCAGAATGGTCAATGGTTGACACTGTTGACAGGACTCCCATCACTATAGGCAGCACAGTGGGCAGCACCAAGTAACGTGGTGTGACGTGGTAACTTTGTGGGAAGGTTTGAAACGTGACCGACATTCCCAAACAGCTGGTTGGTCAGACAGATGGTCAGACTTCATACTGAACGTATGTGCCCGGTCAAACCACCAACTTGACATGGTATATGCCTGGTCAAACCACAGACTTGACACAGCCACAGATTAACCCAACTAGTTGGGTTAATCTGTGACACAGCCTCAATGTCCTGAAGTCGGCAAATCCTCACCGTCATCAGTACGTACAGCTAAACCAAAGAATCTCTCGAACATCGAGGTCAAGTGACGTCACCCACAACACATATTCCTTTTTTCTTTATATTGAGAAACTATGACCAACTATGACTAACTTGAGTAAAGCCATAACTTAGTGATATGTGTATCTGACTTCCACGGTGGTGACTAGGGTTCAATCCCTGCGATGAGTCATTTTTTTTTCAATTTTTTTCACTCAATTAATTTTCCAAAAATATACTTCGCGGAAAAAGGATCATTCAGGCCGAGTTGGGTCTGAACTAGTGCCTTATCATGCAGATGATATTATTCTCCCTAACCTTCTTAACCTCAAGATTTTCTGCAGCACATCAGCATGCTATTAATTGAATGTCTGGCGAGAGACATTTGTCAATCGATGTATCGGCCAATGAACTCAAGTGTATCGGCACCATATAACCGACTGCAAATAAAAATATCAAGGCTATTTAACTCTATAGAAGTTGATATATCTTTTGAAAATATAACATGAAATTATTGTTTCATTCATGAAATAGTGAGTGAAAAAATCTTAACAAACACAACTCGTTTCATTATCGAAAATCACTACTCCTTTTCGAAACAAATTATGTTGCTTTAGGACATTTAGGCAACCACACTCGCGGTATGCACATATTAACTTCAACTAGGGTCCCCATCTTAAGGTGACTTTTACGTCAATTTTCATCAAGGGACCCTAACTTCAACATACTTCAATATGCGTCAATTGTGTCGCAGCCTTTACGGTTCTGCTGGCTTCTGGCTCAAGACGCTCGTCTTTGAAAACTGTGTCCTGTGTCAATACTCCAATAGTGACATAACTAGTGACAAATGGCAACTGATGGTTGTTTTCATATTTTGATTGTTTTCATTTTCACCAGACCACCAATCCTGGTTTTCATCATGTTTTGATTTTTGAATGAATGACAAATTTTAACCGACCACGATAAGCCGTTGAAAAGTAAAGTGGAAACTATATTTTTTTATAATAAATATTAGAGGTAAAAAAAAACGGAAATAATTTTGCTACATTGTCCTCAATAAATAAAGCAAAATGGAAAAAAGTAGGATACGTAAAACCTTTAATGACTTACAAGAATTGGATATGAATATAATCAAAGGTATTCCATGGGCGGAAGAAATGTGGAAAGTTTTGTCAAATGGTTTGGAAAAGACTTTCTTGAACTGGGCTCGAGTGGCTTTGAAGATGGAAAAAAAAGAAGGTGACATGAAAGAATGGGTACAGACTTTTATTTTACATTATGAAGACACCTGCTGTGAGTTAGTGTCTGATATGGAAGGGCTCCAAAATGATCTGATCACCAAGATAGAAGAATCCCTTCAGAGAGTGGAAGAGTTGAGTAAAATTTTACAAATAGAGATGCCAGTTTTTGGATATGAGAAGCAAAGCTTATACCAAGAACGAGATCAGTTGAAGAAATGCATTGAAGAATTAGAACATACAATTGAAGCAAGAAAATCAGAACTGAACAAACTTCAAGAAAAACAAATAGATTTATGCCATAGCTTAGGAAGGAAGATGAGAACAATTCAAGATGATCCTTTGCCATCCTCTGAGGAAGTACAAGAATTTCAAACTTATATTGAAAAATTAGAGCAAGAGAAATTTGAGAGATTAGAAAAATTTTATACTCTTAAAGAGGAAATTTCTGTCATAATTCAAGAACTCAATTTCAAACCATCTACCCAATTTGAAAAATATGTAATGTCATCTGATGAATCAAAATTTTTGGTTACTGAGAGTAATATGAGGAATCTACAAGATTTTCTCAAAACTTTGGAGCATGAGGTGAAAGTTGTTAAAGAAGAAGTTTTCGAGTTGAGGAACAAAATAAATCATTACTGGAATGTTCTGGAAATACCATTCCTAGAACAAGAAGAATTCAAACAAAAATACCCAGGGCATACACTGGAAATACTAATTGCTCTGCGCAAAGAAGTAGAACGTTGTGAAAATTTGAAGAAGGCCAATATAAAGGTTTTTGTGGAGAGGTTGAGAAGTCAGCTATTGGAAATCTGGGACAAGTGTGGTTGCACAGAGTCTGTTAGGGGTAACTTCAGGTTTCTTGACTCTGATTGTTATACTGAAGATTTGTTAGAACTCCATGAATTCGAATTGAAAAAATGGAATGATTACTATGAGGAAGTCAAGGACATTATTGCTTTGCTGAATGAACATTCTAAAGCCTGGTTCAAACTGATTGAATTTGAAGAATCAGCTGTTGATCCTAAACGTTTCAAGAATAGAGGTGGCCAATTACTGAAAGAAGAAAAGGAGAGAAATGCACTGATCAAAAAAATTCCAAAAATTGAAAGTACTCTACAAGAAAAGGCTAATAAATATGAACAACAGAATGGTACTCCATTCAGAACCAATGGTGTCACAATCAAGGAATATATTTGGGATCTACATTCTCAAAAAGAAAATGCCAGGAAGCAGAAACTTAGTGCTAGAAAAATCAAACATGAAAACACAAAGTCAGTATTAACCCAGGTATTAACACCTGCCAAATCTGTACAGTGCTTATTTCCTGTTAACCCTGGGACAAGCACTTGTAAAGGGAAATCAGCATCCAAGAGAAAGTTACCTGCTACACCTGCTCTCACCAGTAAAAGAGCCAAAACTAGCCCTGGACAATTTTCTACTCAGTCAAAAAAATTAACTGTTCCTAAGATCACAGTTAATTCAGTAACTTTATCCAAACGCCATTCAACTGAACGCAAAAAACGTCTGGAGAAGATAAGAAGACAAAGTGCCCAGAAAAAGAAACATGATGACCTAAAACAATCAGATACAAGTACCAATTCTGATTATGGGGAATTTGAAACTGAAATCTCCACCAGAAATGATATCAGAAGTACAATGTTGCCTGAAACCCCTAGTGCCAGTAGGGGTGTTAGTAGAGTGAATCCAAGAATAATTCTTCCCAATAAGGGTACTCCAACTGCATTGAAAAAAACTACAAACAACAACAACCTCAAATTGGCAACTTCAAAATCTGATCTCAATTTGATGTTTTGAATATGTTTTGCTATTTAAACCATTTGTATAGAGAACATTTTTATGTGTGTGTACTATTTGTGATTTTTTATACTCACTTTTGTGATCATCTGGTAAAAACCCTGCAATACATTACATTGAATTCAGTGGCTTTAGATGGAAGCAAGAAGCAATGCAATTGAGACAGTCCAGTATAATTTCCTGATATATCATAATAATATTAAAATATATTACTGATATTATACCTGGATATACAGGGTGTCAATTTGAAAACTTCCCACCCTCAATATCTCCCTCCAAGTCGATAATATGGAAAAACGAAAAGACAGGTCGATTTTATTTTCGAGGGGGACATGGTTCTAAAATATTTTCAGCCCCGCGGCGTTGCCGCTTCTAACGAAAAGAAGCAACAACTTTGTTATTTCAAATGGAACACCCTGTATTTTATTGCATTTTTAGATTCTCACTGAAAAGCTGATTTCATTAATGTATCACACTTGGGGTCTAGCAGGAATGATTACAGAGATATAGGGTGTTCAAAATCGAGATTTTACAACTTTAGGATTTTTTTGAGTCGAAACTATTCATTATTGGTCAAAACGGCTTTTATGTCCCTATTTCAACTTTTGATTTACTATCTACTGACATTTATTTGAAACAAATACAGGGTGGTTCAAGATTCAGACTTTTGATCACCCTGTATTTGTTTCAAATAAATGTCAGTAGATAGTAAATCAAAAGTTGAGATAGGGACATGAAAGCCGTTTCGATCAATAATGAATAGTTTCGACTCAAAAAATCCTAAAGTTGTAAAATCTCGATTTTGAACACCCTATATCTCTGTAATCATTCCTGCTAGACCCCAAGTGAGATACATTGATGAAATCAGCTTTTCAGGGAGAATCTAAAAATGCAATAAAATACAGGGTGTTCCATTTGAAATAACAAAGTTGTTGCTTCTTTTCGTTAGAAGCGGCAACGCCGCGGGGCTGAAAATATTTTAGAACCATGTCCCCCTCGAAAATAAAATCGACCTGTCTTTTCGTTTTTCCATATTATCGACTTGGAGGGAGATATTAAGGGTGGGAAGTTTTCAAATTGACACCCTGTATATATATGTATGCACAAGGTGGGCCATTATTGCTTCAATTGCTGGAATTATGTGATTGCTATAAACTTGATTCAAAATCAAATAAGAATAAGACGACAAGGTATAACTAGAAATTATTGCAGCATATACAGGGCACCCTGAAAGAAATCTAGAGGGGTCAGGATCACTTATTTTAAATGGAATGCCTTGTATATTAGCACATATTTTTAAGCATCCCTGTGACCTCCATCAACTCCTATAAAATCATTGACTATATCTTGATCATATCAAATTTATTAATTTTTTTGTCCAAATAATGTTTGCAGATGCATACCAAAAAAATCACGGTCCTCACAATTATGAAATTTAAGAGGGAATGTTCAAATCATTTGATGGAAAGATGCCGGATATTTCTGAAGAATTTCCATGCCCTCAAACAGAGTGGCTGAAAATTATGTTTCGGAAAACTCGAGAAAAATCACTTTGAAAAGTTCCGAATTGAAAAATCATTTTCAGCCACCTTGTATAGTTTTAGCCCATCAAAATTTTTCAGAAATATCATGCATCTTTCCATTAAATTATATATCATACTCTCTTGAATTTCATTATTGTGCCATAGTGATTTTTTTGGTATGCATCTACAGATGACATTATTTCAACAAAAAAATTAATAACTTTGAAATGATCAGGTTACAGGGATGCTTACAAAAATATGCTAATATACAATGCATTCCATTCAAAAAAAGTGATCCTCATATATGCGGCAATAATTTATAGTTATTGACCTTTTCTTGTCTCATTCACATTCGTTTTTATATCAAGTATGTCTAGCTTTCATAGAACGAGTTCCGACGCGCGAGTGTCCCACCCATGTCCCACCCTGTATATATATTATGATGGAATCGAAGTACTTATAACTTTTTTATGTTGACACAACTTTTAGCTTTCATTTTAACTTTATTATAGTTTATTTATATTCATAGTAATATAGAACATATTAGTTTTACTATACAGGGTGTCATTTTGGAAACTTCCCACCCTTAATATCTCCCTTCAAGCGAATAATATGCAAAAACGAGAAGACAGGTCAATTTTATTTTCAGAGGGGACACTTTGAATAAATATTTTTGAACATAATGGGTCAACCCCCCTAGGAGGGGTAGCGAGTGGTACATCATTTTGAAGGGCGTTCAATTCTCTTTTCAACAGTACCTCGCTTCACTATTTTTTGATGAGCAGTTTCTGAAAAATACCGTTCTAAACTCATAGAAGTGATTAGAACTTGCCTTCACTCAGATGCATTGTTTTCAGGACAAAAATTTGAATCTCCCATTGATAAAAATGGATAAAAGGTTAGGTGGCATCGTTACAACAGAAATAAATCTAGTCTACACGTTTGATTTTTTTTTCTGTGACGGGAAAAAAGTTTGGCATTTCATCTCTGTTGGCAGGTTATAAAATGTCACTTTTCATAAATTACTTTTTTCCCGTGGGAAAAAAGTGAGTATTTCTTTCCCGGATATATATCACATATATATACTCTGTTAATGGCTTTTGTTGTGCTATAGTTCCGAAAAATGAGTCAATAATACCGTCCCCGAGAAAGAACTGCAAGTCCTTTTATCTTCCATTCGACTTCGCGGTTTCGTATATTACTAAACAACTACTGAATTCGCAATTTTTTAAAATCAAATCACAGAATTGAACTGACAGAAGTGACATCAGATATTTGATTACTTCAAAAGAATGATAAAAATGTCTATAAAACGCAGGTGTCCTTACTGTTAAAAACTTGAAATTTCACGTCGATAATTTTCAGATTTCGAAATATTGTAATATCTTCTCAATATTGATTCGTCCTTCCTTCTGTCACAGAAAAAAATAGTGTATTATACACGGGAAAAATATTAGATTTTAGCTCACGGTTTTTTGTCTCCCTCCGCTAAGCGTCGGGAGACAACACAACCTGGAGCTAAAATCTACTACTTTTTTCCCTTGTATAATAAATAACTATTGTTTGTTGGTTCTATACAGGGTGTTAATTTTGGTAATAATTAGACTCACAATTCAGTGGATTGTATGAAATTATACCTTTATTCACTGACAAGTTGTCACAAAATTAAAAATTATCTTTTCCACGTGACATTCAACATATAGGGTTAATCAACTGACAATATTTATATAAGGTCATTCAATTACATAAATACAACATTCTCCCCTCCGTGAAGAGATCATATCTTCACCCATTAATCGCTTGATGTAGGCAAATTACATAATTTTGTCACTGGTCGAGTATAAACTCCCTTGTTGGTTTTAACTTTGGCTACCCGAACAATATTGTCTTTGCCAGGATATACTTGTTCCACACGACCCAACAACCATTCATTTCTCGCCAACTTATCGTCAACAATGAGAACTATATCCCCAACTCTCAGTGGTTCGGTTTTGGAATGCCACTTGGAACGTTTAATTAATGTTGGTCGATATTCTTTAATCCATCGCCTCCAGTAAAAATCAGCCAAAGTCTGTGCATTTCTCCATTGCTTACGCCCACATTTTGAGTCACTGCCACACGATATTACTCCACCTGGTCTGAGTAATAGGAAGTGATTCGGAGTAATGGCTTCCGGTTCCGCGGGATCCATGGAAATATGTGTGAGTGGTCTAGAATTAACCATGTATTCAATTTCTGTTAGTAAAGTAGAAAGTACTTCCTCTTTGGGATTCATCGAAGTCAAAGTAACTTTGAGCGCTGTTTTTACTGAACGAATCATCCGTTCCCAAATACCACCCATATGTGCAGCTAAAGGTGGATTGAATTTCCATTTGATACCTTTGCTAGAGAGAAAGTCAGTCAGATGTATTTGATCCCATTCCTGAACCCACTCTTTCAATTCTCTCTCTGCACCAACGAAGTTGGTTCCATTGTCGGTGAAGAATTCTTTTGGTTGTCCTCTTCTTGAGATAAATCTTCTTATAGCTAAGATTGTAGAGCTAGTGTCAAGACTTGCGGCCAGCTCAATATGTATAGCTCTTAGGGTGAGACAGGTAAAAAGAACGCCATAACGTTTCTCTACTCTTCTCCCAACAGAAACAGTCATTGGCCCAAACAGGTCAATTCCAACGTATGTAAATGGATGTACAAACTCTTCTAACCTTTCTTTTGGTAGATTTCCCATCTCCGGTGGGCTAGGTTTGCATTTCCTGATCCGACAAGCTCTACAGGAGTTAAAACATTTCTTAACTGCGTTACGTAATCCAATGATCCAAAATATTTTGTACGTAAATTATTTACAACTGTTTCTAATCCTATATGTCCTGCGACCTCATGAAAATGTCGGATGAGAAGTTGTGTATATTGATGCTTGGCGTCAAGTATTATTGGATATTTGGAGTCGAATTCTATATTTATGCTTTCAGATATTCTTCCACCAACTCTCAAGATTGAATGTTTATCCAGAAAGACTGATAGTTTGAAAAGTCGACTAGTTTTCTTCAATTCTCTGTTCCTTCCAAATTCTTTCAGTTCTTCGTTGAAACAATCTTCCTGACTCTTGCAAATCCACAATACTGAGGCTTGTTCAACTTCTTCAGTTCCCAGTATTAGATTTTTGGGTCTCTCTGCCTTATGCAGCTTCATAACCTTGATAAAATATATCAACCATCCCGTAGATCTTATCAACCTGGTCCATTTAGAAAACCTCCTGATATCAGAGGTAAGTAATCACGATTTGCAGTAACCATTATAAACAGCAGATGTTCTTCCTGACATCTATGTAGCACGGGTTCATGGGGCCAATGATCACGGCTTTTACTAAGGAAATCAGGACCTTTGAACCATGGACTGTCTTCATGGAAACTTGTAAACTTCAGCTCTTTTGTAGCTAGGTCGGCTACATTTTTTTCAGAAGGGACCCAATGCCATTGTGAA